ACTGTCGGGTCCGGTAATCGTTTGATAGGGTAGACGACTGGCGCTCGCAATGGAAATACACTACTTATGAGAAGGTTTTTATGTACTCCGGGGGTCGGAGTCGGACTTTGATCCGGGAATACCCCCTAATGTTTGAGATGACCGTTAAGGCACAGCTCAGCGAGTATTATCTCTATGGTTTTGTAACTAATGTTATCGCATATACCGGTCTGTTTCACCTGTTGTTGCATTTATTTACACATTATGTGAGACATAAGTATATGAATACCTGTGGCTGAGTTGAAAAGTATTTCATGTGTTTTGATTATTTTATATTTTTGTGATTTATTTTATTTTTATTTCTAATTTTGTAAAACAAAATGTTTTGTTAAAACTGGCAATTAAAATTACTTATATGTGTTTTTATGTCGATTCTTATGAATGCTTTTAATAATAATTAATAACTTACAAAAAATATAACTCAAATATAATTCAAATTATATTCATTTTTCTAAAAAAAAGTAACCCATATGTTATTTAATTAATTCCAACACAGTATATGGTGTTTTAAATATGTAATCTTATTTAATTATTTAGTTAGAATTTTAGAATATATTTTTATTGTGCATATAATTTTTGGGTAACAAATAATTTGCTAAATTTATTAAAAAATTCTCTTTTAATTATAATAAATTAATTTATTATAAATTTCAATCAATACATTTTTGTAAACTAGTCACTACAAATAAAATTTTAACAAATAGAATAAAAATGATTATGGATTAATAGCGTTAAGATGAACTTGGTTTCTACATATTGAATGGTCGAGGCAAACAAATTCATTATTTGGGCAGTTCCCTTCACCACATTTTGGACCCTCTCCATCGTCGGAAGGTATTTTATCGTCTCTTACGGGTACAATATTTCCATTATTGTCTCTGTCCACGTCCTGTGCAGTTGTTAACGCCACCATCGTTACCGCTAATAACATCATCATGATGGCAACTTTAGTCATGGTAATGAGATTCAGCTTATTGTGTTTAAGATACACTTTAATTTTTTATTAAATATAAATTGTAATAAATTATGACATATAATAATATTTGACGAGTGTGGTTCAGCTTATATACCCTATTTGTAAAAATACTACTACTTTAATAAATGGTTTACATTTCACTCGTGATTAACCATATGTTAATAGAGAAACGGATAATATTTTGTTAATATTTAATTTAATTATATTTAAGCATTATGTTTCATGTGTCGAAATTTTTAATTGATATATTAACAGTATATTTGTGCATATGAGCATTTATAGGCAAATTTTATTAGAAATGAAACAACAAACTTGAGTTTGGGTCCCATATTAAATATAATAATTGTCAATTTATAAATTTTATAACACATTTTTAATAAAATTTGCCCATATGCGTACAAATATATTTTTCACTTATCAATTAATTATTTGACAAATGAAACATAATCGAGACTTACAAAAAAGTCACGTCTGCCCGGCACGTGGCGTCTGGCCAAAATTTTTAATTAACTGCCAATGCTTACTAATCACCAAAATTACTTATAATTTATATTTTATTTAGTTGAATTTAAAGTTATATTTAAAATAAGTTAACCCTATTTTTACTACCAGAATGTTAAACACAAACACACATTGTTCACACATTTCCAGAATAAACTGGACATCAATTGTGACCCAATTGTCAACATATTTAAGTCCCAAACTTACAACACATACAGTCAGTCAGTCAGTCAGTCAGTCAATACAAAAAATGTAAACTCACATTAACCACATGATTTGTGTGTTTTTGCACTACAATGTCTTTGTATTTGTGTCTTTGTATTTGTGCAAAGGTTTTAAATAAAATTAATTTTTAAAAATAATAGTTTTAATTAAATTGATAAAAAGTTCATTAAAGTTGTCATTATATGTCATATGTTTTTTATTTTAACTTTATATAAACTTTATGTAATTCATATGGTTTTAGGTTTTTCTCTCTCATACAGAGTATCTCAATGTCTACGAAATGTTGGATTCATTTATGAATTATTTGCTGACAAGCGGTTAAGGGGTAAGATATATGTTGTTATTTTTAGCTTTAATAATATAATAATAATGTTTATTTATTTATAATGAGTTTAGAATGTAATAATACAGCAAAAAATAATTACAATTTACATTAATACAATTAAAAGTTTTTTTAAAATTAAATTTAAAATTACATATTTGTCAGATAAACGTTATAACATTTCTGAAATAAATTATTAATATTTTTTATTTCTGTCGGCAAATTATTAAACGATTTAATTTAATATATAAATAAATTATTATCACAAAAATGTTTCCGAGTATTAGATTTTAAATTCTTATATTCTGTGAAATTACTTTTTTATACACTAGATGTGAAGTATTCCGTATATTCTGTATGTTATGATTACTACAGCTAAGCGTTAAAAGACTATTAAATTAATTAAATATTGTTTTCCATTTCATTTTAGTCACATCTTTGTTATATTATTAGTACAGATAAAATTTAATGTATTATTTCATAATTTTGTTATCAGTTAAAAATTATTGTTGAGTTCTAATGAATTGTTTTTAAACTATATGTATTATTTATTAATACTATATATTTATTATTTAAACTGCTAAAGCAAATCATTGCTACATAATTTTGTTTTTATTCAATCAAGGTTCTATAATATACAGTATCTAAAGGACAAAGATTAATGTTAATGGGTTCTGGGCCAAAAATTTTATATTAAAAAATTTTATTTTTTTTAAATTTGCGAAATTAATTATCATTGTAAGCATAATTAAAATTGATATAAATGATGTTCAGTAATAACGTTATTTACTATAAAAAACGTACATAACTGATACTAAATTTCTTAATTTTGATATAACTTTTATCTCTTATGTCAGATTTGAGAAATTCCTTCTGATTTCGATTCTACTCATTCATACCTTTCTATTGATATATAATATGATATGGTTATTTATAAAATAAAAGATTTGATTTGCAAAATTTTACCGATAAAAGTGGTCACTACGGCCAGACCCGAAAGTATTTGGACATATGAAGTATATCACTCGACTACCTATTGAGTGTACTTTCATTTTATAACAATAATTCCAAAGTGCCCGCTATCCCACGAATGCGCATCATCTTTTATATGTAAGCATTTTGTTTATATTAATACATAGTGTTAATTATATACAAAATGTTATCATGTATTAAAACACCTCTAAATTATAGCATAATGTTTCCAATCATAAAATTTTTTAAAAACTTTCATAAAAGTTTATAATAACAATATTAAAACTATTGATATAAAAATAAATCAACAAATGAAATAACGTTTTAATATTTATAAATAATTATACGATTTTAATAGTTCTTGGAATTAAATCAGTAAAAAATAATAGCATTTAACAAAGTATTAAATGTTTCAGATTTTAATCACAAAATATATTGAATACATAATGAATTTCTATGACTTTTCTCTTTATAAGTTAATTATATTTCGGGGCAATAAATGGCTAAACATTATATATTATTGTTTTGTGGCAATTGTTTGGATACTGATTGTTTGCTGGGTGTTATACAACCACCAAAATATTTTAACCACGCACAATTTCTACAGGTATTTTTTATACCCCTTAAATCAATTATGAAAATAAATACATAATAACTAATTATTACACTAATTAACAGTACACTAAACCTGAAGATCAGGGGCGCCGTCGAAGTGAACGAATCGGCCGATAATTTTGACCAAAATTATGTCAAACCCGAAGAGTTTGTTAATTACAACCGGGTTTGGGATGCAAAAGATTACGCACACTATTATCCCCGCGAAGTATACGTTATGACAAATATGGCCATCACTGGCAACCAGACACTGGCCGCGTGTCCCGATCACCCCCGGGTTAATAAGGCTTTGTGTAAACCGGGCGATAAAACCCACTGTCAATACGGCCGGCAAACTCCGTTTGGTGTTCAAACGGGCAAATGTGTGCCTGCTGATTTTCCTACACAGAAAAATACATCAGGCTCAATTGTTTGGGATTATGAACACACGTGCGAGATTAAGGGTATTCTACCTTTTTGTTATCACATTACTATGTAATAATTTTAACGTATTAAAAGTATTATTAACAATACACATATCATAGGCTGGTGTCCAGTGGACCGAATACTGCCCCCATTAAAACATGATCGCCCAGTGCTCGGCTCGACCAACACCTCTACGCTATGGATAAAAAACTCGGTGGTATTTCCCGATAGGGGTCTATTCATAAACAATCAATTGGACAAAACATTGGTTACACAAATGTATTGATGCCATGAAATCACCGATAGTTTACTCACATAACGATATATTTAACGGAAATATATTGGTTAACAATCGGATCAATGAGAACAGCGATAATAACGTTATGTTAATTGACTTTGAATATTCCCGACACTTCTACCGTGGTCATGATTTGGGATTTTTTATCAATGAGTTCGGGAGAGACAGCAATTTCTTTGATCGCAAAGACCTGCCTCTGGCCGACGATCAGTGGATCCAAACATTTTTGGGCCACTATTTGGACAAATCGGTGAAAATTCGGGGCAAAGAGTTCGCTGAAAAACCCAAGAATTCAATGCATGTTCTCTTAACTCACAACGACCCAGGGGGAAAATGCATCCCCCTCCATTAAATTGAGGGATGTGGCAAAACATTGATTCCACCTATTGAGAGCTACCATTAAAAAATGAGTGGAACCATTTAAACTGAAAATTAGTTAGTTCTAATTGTAAAATTATTGATCAGCCAATACTCATAAGTAGTATAAAAAATAATTGTAACATGAATGTTAATAGGCCCACTTGTTACAAGTACGACAAATAGAAATGCGTTAAGAGAAGCGAAATTCTTTACATTAATTCAAGAAATGACTTGTATTTTGCTATTGTATTGCAGTAATGATTCGCCCGATTGTGTCGATAAGAGGGATATTTTGGTCAGTATTTGTGTTTTATATGAATTAAATTAATTTTATTATTTATTGTTTATTATAGAGAAAAGTTGACACTTATTACGGCCGATATATTAAGCGCCGACAACTGTTTGAAATGCAAGGCATTACACCCATCCCTCGCTATACATAACATGTTAGTTAACTTATAATTACGTAAATCTTAATTAATGTTTTGTTTGTAATCATATTATTAATAAATTATTCAAAATAGATAACTTTGTAACTTCCAAATTTAACACCACTTATGATTAAGTCATTAATAAAGAAAAGCTCCAGGTGTTATAAGGATTATATAACGCATTGATGCATTTTAGGAAAATGTTGTAGCATCAGGTTACCCCTGGTAAATTTAATAATTTGAAAGTCGCTCTTAAAATGACTACAACGACACCTAATATATTGCACATGAAATGAATAATGTAGAACTGGTTGAAACTAATTTTGATTGCATTTTAAAAAGTTTAATTATGAAATAACTCATATAATCCACCTCGATAAGTTGGATAAAAAAATTACATAATAGCATAATACATTAGTAATGTCTAGCTATGGGCAAAATCCAGACGCGTCTGATTTTTTTAGGGTAACCAGGTAATAACTTTAAAAAATCTTATGAATTTCTATAATAATAATTTAAACCAAAACCACATTTGCCTTCAAAACCAATGGTTTTCAATACAAACTAAATGTAATTAAAATCACAAATAATTACTTGAACGCTGTTTTGAGTCAAAAACACAAACAAAACAAGATTGTATTCAATTCCCGTCCCGTCGAAAATTCTAAATTTACATAAATTGTTAATATTGTCTATGGATTCGATGTAGATTCTAACGCTGATTACAAATATGAAATTAATTTTTTAGTAGGTATGATCGTTTTCGAGTTATTCGACTTTAAAATATTAAAATTTGAATATCTCAAAATATATTCGATAGAAAAATATTTAGAATTCAAATTCGAACTCAGCGTTATATTCTACATAAAATTAAATTGATAAACAAAATTTTTATCGGAAAAAAATTTACCCCACCGACAGGACAGTTTGATCGGCACTTGGGTCGACGGGACACCGCATACATAGCGACGGATTAACGGTAAAACTTTAAATTTTTTTCAAGATTGTAAAGTCGAATAACTCGAAAACAAGCATGCCTACTAAAAAACGTACTAAAAATATATTTGTAATTAGCGTTAAAATCTACATCAAATCCATAGATAATATTAACAATTTATGTAAATTTAAAATTTTCGACGGGACGGGAATTAAAGACAAACTCAAACAAAACGTCTGTTTCAATCAATTCGTCGATTTTAATGGCAAAAACTTTCCCAAAAAAATTGTTCAAAATTTTAATAAAAAACAACAAATCATTGATTGAATCGTTTTTTCAGTACAAATAGAGACATAAAACTAATTAAAGGCATAAATAATATATAAATTAACATTTATCTAATACAAATGACAGCAATAAATGTGTATTCAATACATGTGGCACTCATTTATAATTGTATTGCTATTTGTGAGCGCTTTTGTGAACAATAGAAATAAAACGGAAATAGAAGTCAATTAATGTTGAAAAATATATATATTTTTCAAAATTTTCAGAAATATAAATTTATTTCTAATAAATTATAAGAGATTAAAACTGAGTATTCAATAGATATATTTAAAGTTTATATGTTGGTCACCCTGATTATCAGCCCGTAAACATCTCTAGTGCCCAATGCTAGTAATGTCTGTAATGTTACATTACAGACAAAGCCTCTGTATATTGGTTTAAATTACACGTGTTCAATCAAGTCTCTATTAGAGACTTGGAGTAGAAAAGCCAATTGTCATACACAACATTAAAATTATGTTTTAAAGTTTGGATTAAAAATTATTAATCATTCAAATAAATGAACATATTATACACATAGGGTATAAAATTTATACAATGCAACTTTTATTGTA